CTTGAAATAATTCCTGCGGGTGAAATGAATCTCACGTACTAATTTGTCCTAGACCAAAATCAACTAAAAACGAATCTGGTGGGGGTGTAATTAGACAATATTTATTTAAGAAATGCAAATAAGCTCACTAGAATGCACTGTATAGTATACATGTTTGCTAATACTAGGTTTAACTTTAACAAAGATACTATCTTAAAGGAGTTTCAACTACAGGGAAAACCCTTCTCGAAAATAAACGATAAGGAACACTATTAAATAAACAAACAAAATATGTAAAATTTACCTTTAATACAAGCGCCCGGAATCTCTTTAATGAAAAACAAGCATTGTTGTAAATGACACAATATTGTTGATCCTATCAAGACAATCGGTTTGAGTTCTCACAAATTAGTCGCCTAAATTTATAGGCACTTCGTTGTGGAGCAAACTTGGGTAAATTTCTTTTTCAATATCAGAAAAGTAATGTCTTGAGGTAATACAAACTGAAAACATTTTTCCGCCGTTAAACCAATACCAAGAAAAAACGTACCGCCTTCTTCCACAAAATTTTCGTCTTTTTTTCTGTTGTAAAACGTAGTCGGGAGTGTGGGAATTATTTCACATTCCACACACAGATTTATGAAGCAGGAATTTAACTAAACGTTATACCACTTTTAATTTTAAACTTTGCGTTGTCGGATTTCGAGTTATTACCGTTTATAAGCTTGGTGTTATTTGCTTTGCTTTTGAAGTTTGCGTTTTATTCAAATCTTTGAGAAACAAACCCGCGTAGTCAGTTGTTTCCTGAGGTGAAGTGGCAAAAACTGGGTTTAATTGAAACTTTTTAAGGGTATTTAATTGGGGAAATATGCTTTAAAAATGTCAAAACGAGATGAAGATAAAAGGGTAAATATCTGCTTTGTTCAGCGTGCCCACAGGCAGGTTTCTTTTTTTAATTTAGCGCACAAATCAACATCCATAAAGAGATGGATGAGTTAAAGATGTGTGAAATTTTAACTAATTGAAACAGTAAAAGCTTGCGAATCCATAAGTATTTTGTTAAGAGATTCACATCCTTCTTTTTCGTATCATAGATTTCCCTAACAAACAAAGTGTCTGCATATATTCTTAAAGAACCATTACCAATTATTTTTGAATGAAGAAACAGTATAATTGCAGTAATTTACTTCTTAGTGAACTTAGGCAATCGATCGATTATGTATTGCTTTATCCTTACCTTACCTATACTCTAAAAATACTATATAGCACTTATAATATTACTCAATTTTTTTAATTGTGTAAATGTAACCTGTCTTTGTACATTATTAGTTGTGTGTTATATGTGTAGTATTGTTATTTTTTTGTTTCGTTAACTTTTTCATTTCATTTAACATTGTAAAGTCTGACGGAAAAAAATGTAATTATAATATAATTTCTAAGATATACAAATTAATCAAACAATCAAATTTCAGAACAGTTTTGTTTTCCGACACATAAAAAAATATTTATTCTCTTGCACTGCAAGACTAAGCAGTCGATAACAGTTCTACAATTGGACCTAAGGATTTCTGCATATGAAATATTTTTAAATGCCCTTTGGCTGTAAAAATTCCCCGACGGGAAACTGTATCGGCTTCAAAAGAAGGGAAATCTGATATGGCAAACAGCGACCAATTGCGTATAAGCCCCCCATAACAACGAGATTTTTAGAATTTACGAATCCTTTGTCGTTGGACAATCCCGCGCTCTTTGTTTAATTCAGCTCTCTAATTGCTAAATGTTATTTCCATGCAGATCGATGTTATACCAATGTTTTTTACCCCTAATGCAAAAAAATAGTGAAATTAAAAAACTGCTCCACCAATCCTGTTCGTATAATTTTTGGTTCTGTTTTCTATTTTCAAAAATTGATGATTAGAACGTGATGTACAATGTTTAGTTTAATTTTTTAAAGTTTTGGTTAATTTTGGATTTATTTCCATTTTTGAAACTTTGTATGAACATAACTTCCAAATACTACGACGATATGGAACATGCGCTAGGCCAACAAATTTTTCTCATTCCATTCTTTGCCCTTCGCTTAACTAACTGATCTAACACATTCCCTTGGTAATGCATATTGAGGTGCGTCTTTGATTATCGACTTCATCAATATTTAAAGTAAATATTATCCCACTAATAGGCATCCAATAATTTGCTCTTTGAAATGGATATCGTATCCTTTGCAGCCTTCGAAATATTCAAGTTTGTTAGTGTGTTAATTTCTGTAATATAGTATTTATGGGCATTTTGTTTCAATTTTCGAGGAGCGTTTTTGGTTCTTTCAATTGCCCCCTCAAATACAAGACGCTATTTTTATATCTTTTTACCAACAATAACAAAAATCAAAACGATCAGCCAGCCCTGTTATAAGTTTAGTAACAAATATTAATTATAAGAAACGTTCAAAATAATATGGAATGACTAGAATTGTCGAATTGACCGGTCAATTTAAAAATACCGTTTAATTTATATTTATTTTGGTCCCTTCGGGAACCAAATGGAGTCCTTATTATTACATGTATTCCCCGAATCGTTAAGTGTCGCATTCGGATATTCCTTGAAGAGTGTTATAGGTAAATTGGACATCACAAACGCATAATATATTTGCAAGATGTTATTTAAAACATTTTTTGATTAGTCAATTGAGGAGTGGTCAATTGACCTGTCAATTAACCGGTTAATTGACCAGTCCGAGGAATAGGAATAACCCGCAATTCAAAAACACCAAAGTGGTTTATTAGCACACAAAAAATTATCGAAAATCTAATAGTAAGCGTTGTGTGCCAGTTAGGAACAGTAGATCAGTTTTTTTTTTGGCTAAAAATTACCGAAAAGCGTTACTTTGTAATTTTATTTTTTTAAATTTAAATAATAATTTGATATTTTGCAAAAAATAAAAACAATGTTCCCATTTGAGTAAGGACAAATGCAGAGATTTTACTACTAATTCGAAATACAGTGTAAGTTATAGCGTTTTTTTTATACATTTTTATTAAAAATGTAAAACGAAGCAGCTTTTCAAATATTTGATTGACACTTTGCATGTCTAATTGTTAGATTACACCTATCATGGAAATTTTGTTAATAAATAAGGCTAAGCCTTCTTGTTTATTTTTGATAACTATTACAGTTTTTGACGTATTGTACATTAACTACTAAATTAAATCACTAATAAATGGTTGACAGTAACTGAAAATAACAAAATATTGTTATAAGTATAATAATTAGGTCTATTTTCATATATTTTTTAAATACCCTTGTTTCCATTCCAGTCCAAAATGTCTAGCATAATACGAATACTATTTATTAATGATGCATTTTGCAGTTCCATCCATGTTTCTGATAGTATTTAAAAAAAAGTTAAATCTATACTTGCACTTTGGAAATGTCAAAAGTATTTTTTTCGAATTTTATAAATAAAAATGTTATTTAAAAAGCATTTTCGTGACTAACCAAAAATTGCATCATAGAAGAACTTGTCCAAATAACTACCATTAGCATTTAAAACTTTTCGCATTCTCCCAGACAATAAACACAATCCTTACGATTACGATGAAGATGGTGTCAAAGTTACCGATGTCCGTTTGACGATTGGCAAACTTCCGGGTATATCGAAACTATACCGGATTCCTTTTACAAAGAAGCTCCCCTTTGCTTTCCCTTTTGAGCTTAGAGTTTCAGCTACTTCGAAAATGTGTTAAAGTATAATCGCTACACTGCTTTTAAAATACTATGCACCATACGCAGCTCAGAAAAAGAGCTGCGAATGAACATTTATTGTTTAAGTAAATGCTTATTTGTATTCAGAGTTGTTAAAGTGGATGAAGGTCCATTTAAAAAAAAGCGCCATTCACCAATTTTCTTCTGCCTTCAACCGTAATAAGGGAAAATATTTGAAAGTAGTTACATAAAACGGCAGTTAAGCAGATTATTAAAATAATGCAGTAGAGGAAATTTTAAAGGTTTTAAGGTTTCTTGTTAGCTTATTAGTAACCAGCCATTTTTATTGTACGAAGGAGAAAAGCTTGAGAGTGATAATGGAACGATCATATTTATAGATTCTTTTACGGTCTTTTAAAAAAAAAATGAAAGAAAGAATTGAAAAATTGGATCAAAAAACAAATTTCAGCGCCGCGTTAAGGTAATGAGGTATCAATAAAATCAATTTCGATGATTCTTTACATAAAAAATAAAAATTTTCCTATGAATTAATGGACATCGATTCCGATAACTGAGGTCTTAACTCTTTAAACGAAACGTGGGTTATAATAAATTAAAATCGATGGCCCAATATTTCAATTATTCATCACACTTATTGGAAGTCGATATTATTTATCAAGCCGCACACAAACTGCAGTTCGTTGAGAGTTATGTATCAATTTACGTAATGTTGGTGTGAACTCTACATTTATGGATACGATGAATAGATAGATAGACAGATATTTTTGTTGGATACGTTCATCTTAAAAGCTTGTGAATGTACAGTAAGAGGACAATAGAGCTCGTTAAAATAATTATAAAAAATTATTTCAAATACAAAATTGTAAATTTCGATTTATTCTGAATTCATTTTTCATTAGGTTCAAAAGGGTCCATTGTTTTCTCACAAAATAATGTAGTTAACTGTTTCGCTCATTGTAAAGAATTTCTGGAAATTTTCTTATTAAATAAAAGTTGTTAACAACATTTGATAATAAAATGTTTATAGCGACTACGTATAGGTGATAGCAAAAAATGTTATACAAATTCTAATAGAATTTTTGTTATAATTGGTACTGTTAGTTTTTTTTTTCATTTTTATGTAGAAAAACTGATGTAAAATAGACCCAAACTAGTTGATCACAATCACAGTCATAATCAAATATCCATATCAATATATTTTCGATTTTAATAATATTGCCAGTAATCGTCTTTTTGTGAATTACCGTTGATAAGTTGAAGTAGCCAAACCTTTTAATTGTCACACACAAGCAACTTACCTACTAAATAAATTTTTAACCCAGTTTGAATTGTCGAATCTGTCAGGAAACACCTCGAATTCCACCCGTTTGATAAACTTGCCGGGGAAAAAATTAAAATTCACGAGTCTGGAAAACTTTTTCAGGAGTTTCGTCTATCGGTTCGCGCTACAATAAGTCCGGGAATGCAAAGCGATCGGGAGAGATGCGCTGGCAATAACGCAGCGCTAAGTGAAAATCGAGGGCAACTTGTAGCCGTTTTATACCGTTTTCCCCACTGTATGGGCCCACCATCTCCGACTCAGAGTCAGAGTTTTGTTTTGCCAACTTCCAATCAGATCCACGTGCGTGGGTTGCGGGTTGTGTGCAATTTCTTTTCATTCTAACTCATAAATTTGACTTTGCAATCACGGAAGTTTCATTAACTTGCATTTCCGTTTGTTTAAAAAACGTGTTTTAGCGATTGTACAAAAAACGTTTCCGATGTGTCATCGGATGAACTTGGCCGCTGAAATTACTTGAAGTGAGGCATACCATCCTGGCAGACTCTTCCAATGAAAACTATGCGTAAAATTTTATTTTCAACTAATCAAATATACTAAATCTAGTCAGATTTTTGATTTGAGCCGACCTGTGTGTTACGAGCTACTATAATTGTTATATAATAACATTTTTAAATAAAACACCATGCTCACTCCCTAAAAACGAACTGTCAATAAGGGAAAAATCGGGACCATATGCCTGTTTGAGATTTTGAAATAAGTTTCCTCAATATTTTCCAATAATTAATGAGGCAAATTTAAAGAAAAACACTTTTTGAGTCTATTTTTAAATAAAAAGAAGCCTGCACAAAATAATTATGAAAATGTTTACAAAATAGTTATTTGTAGATGAATAAAATTAAGAAAACACCTACAAGGTACTTCTTGCAGATGAAACTTTAACCCGTTGGTATTAGATAGTTATTAATAAATAAAAAGGAAGATAAAAGAAGTTATAAGAAAAATGGCGGTAGGGCAATAGTTCAAATAGTAGTTAGGTACAGCCTGTACCATGTTAAAAATCGGAGAAAATTAGTGTAAAATTCGTTAAGCTGATAAAAGATCCTATATAAAATAATTACTTAGCGCGTTCCTGAAATCTTAATAATACCTCCGAAAATTTTAAGGTACACTTTTGATGGAGAGTTAAAGGAAATAATAGAAAATGAGCTTTTTGAAATATTTTTTATTTATTCCCAATAAGTTGGCGGCATCGCATTAAAATACAAAAGGAATTACGAAAGTAAACTCGTTTAGATGGGTCTTCAACCGAAATCCTAATGAAAAAAACAATGCAAATATTTTTTTTTACATCAGGGTAGATTGCTAAATCCTACTAATTTCCAGATGTGTCGACCGATAAAAAAAGCTTTTTAAACTATTTACCAAAAGCCAAAATTCAACAATGCTGGTTTTGAAACATATCCGCATTTTTTTAGTCCGCTAATGGAATTTACCGCATTTCCATACCAAACAAACGCGACGTTTACAAACGGATTTTATTAATTTAATTTTAAATGGTTCTCTGGTGGTGTATCACATTGCAGAATTGAATGAAATCTCAAAACAAGTTAAATCCGGTTCCTCGAATCAACGATGTGTTTCTATAATCAGAATTTAACCTTAATCAAACATGTATGTCACAAAATCGCTCTCTGTTGCAATTCTTCTTCTTCTTTAATAAACACGTGACTTGTGACGTAATCGCCGGAATTGACAAAAGACAAAATGCCATCGCAAAACTAGAGTTCCCGCCTCTTAAGTTATTAGAAAATTTTTCATGATAGCTTCAGCGTTACTTGTAAATATTTAATGGTATTTTATAAGTTAGACAACAGTGCCACAAATCTAATACCCAAATTAAACACGCAAACCTTATTCGCCATAACATGGGCTCATCATAGGACACTGTCGAATTACATATTGCCATCCAATAATAATTATAAACGATCTCCGGGGGGTACGAAATTAACATTTTGTAATAAACTAGATTCCGAAATTACCTAATCACTTTGACGAATCTACTACTTTGACGTCCAATTACTGAAGATCGGCAGATAGAGAATTATTTAGGCCTATTTAATCGCCATTTTGCTAAGTTTCGACGTCTGCTTCAACTTCTCCGTTTACAGTTGACAAAAAAAAAATACTCTCCAAACAATGTAAACAATAACCTAGGGGAAAATCAAATAATTTTTAACCAATATTTTTTCTCGTGTCTGAAACTAATTCTGAAATTAGCATCGATGTTCTTAGAACTCAACATCTTGTCCCAAAAGTCGACCCTTGACCGTGGTTTTTAAACCACATTTTTACAAAAATGCCATTCATTCCAATTTTTCATTGGTAGAATATTGGTTTGATTTTGAAAAATGCCCCAAAACTTTGATTTTTTCCAGTACGTACTCTGTTTCTTTTCTTGTTAGGGAGGTGAAATATCTTGGTAGTTTTTGAACTCTTGAAATATGCGTGCGTGGTCGCTTGAAATCTCGTTTTCAACCAGTAATACTCAGCGCCATTTAGCGGCAACAAGAGTTCCTCCCTTCTATAGATTTTAGTTTAGATGCTTAGATCTCGTTAAATATAGGCTAGGGTAATACGCGATATACAATTTAATAACGACAGGACTAAGAATTCATAGATTTTTTAGGAAATTAGTTGCAAATCATGCCTGATGTTATGCTCATCCTCTTCCAACACTACTTTTTGAGTGCCGTTGAAAAGGTAAGATTGGAAAAATGACACTGTGTCACGGTCGAACCCATAGTAAACGAGCTTCTCACAAGGAAGTGCGTGGTCTAGAGCGTCGAACCCCTTGGAAAAGTAAAACAATACTAAGCTGGGCTTATTACCAGTTGCATCGGACTTTAATTGAGAAATAATCTGTTTAATTTCATCAAATGTTGCGATACGAAGTGAAAAAGGCAAATGGTTACTAAATTTGGAACTACAGATTAACAGTGTAACCATAATTGTGAGGGGGACTAAAAACTAAGGCTATCGTAATCGTAAAATAACGGAAACACCAAACTTGCTGACAAATAAATATTCGGACGCGAATGTTTATTGACCAAGACATCAAAGCTACCCATGCATTGATGGTAAAATGTAGTGTGCTTCGATAAATGAGATGTCAGTTCGGGTTGTATCTTTCAAGATTGTATAACAGTTGATAAGAAAATGACGCGTGGCGTTGCAACAAACAAAAAAGTGCGAGAAATTATCATATCTCAGTACTGCAAAGGTAAATCAATGCAAAAAATTTCAAATGACTTGAGTATTGCAAAATCAACAGTCGGGGATATTATAAAAAAGTTTGGAGAGACAGCTAGTATTAGCGTTCGTGGTTAAAAGTTCAGGCCGACCCCGTATAATCACTGAAAGAGATCGTCGTGTTCTGGTCCATATTTGCAAAACTAGCAGACGAAGCGTCTTACGACAAATTCAAGCCAAATGGAATCACGAGGCCCACTGAAATGTCTCCAGGGACTATGAATGCATAAGTCTGGTTTGAGTTTTTATAACGTAAGTTTACAATTTTTCGATGATCTACTTTTGTTAAAGGCAAAGGAAAAACCATTATTAACGTCTATTCAGAAGAAAAACTGTTTGGATTGAGAAAAATCTAAAATATTCTGGACAACGGAAAAGTGGAGTAACGTTATCTTCAGCGACGAATCAAACTTTGATGTGTGTGTAGGCGATTTTCGAAAAAGGGTGATTCGTACAAAATCAGAAGCCTTTCACAAAGATTGTCTAAAGCGCACGGTAAAATTTCCCCAGGCATTGATGGTACTGTAAATGCAGAAAAATACCAACATATTTTATCAAGAAGTTTGATTCCATCAATAGAGCGAACTTTTGGAAATGAAAATTTTATATTTCAACAAAACGGGCGTCCTGCCATACTGCGAAAACAACAAAAAAGTGGTGAAAGTTTTATAGTGGCCACCAAGTAGCCCTGGCTTGAATATTATTGAAACTTTATGGCATCGGGTGAAGCAGGCTTTGCGTAACAATCCTCAGCGTACAGTTCCAGCATTAAAGGCAAAAATCACCGAAATTTGGAACACCCGAATATTGCAAGACTTTGGTAGATTCCATGCCAAAACGCATAAAAGCTGTTATTTCCGCGAAAGGTAACGTTACTTTTTATTAATGTTCGATTTAAAGTAAAATATTTCAATGCGTCCGAATATTTTTATTTTGTTATGTAATTTATGTGAAATAAAAAAAGAACTCATTACTATAGCACTTTTGGTATAAAAATAAGTGCGTGATTTCATTTTTCAATCGAAAAGGCAAAAAAAATCAATTTAAAATAAGTATAAATATGTTTTCTTATTATTTCGTACATCGTAAAGCTCCAGGCTAGTTTAAAACATCATCCTCGATTCTGATTTGAACCTTCTTCTCGGCAGGCATAAATCTTACCTTTCGACGTCCAAACTTTTCCGTTACCAATTTTTTCTTTGGCAAAAAGCAGAAGGTGATATCGTTGCTTCGTTAATTCTTCCGCGACCAGCATATTGTACTATTTTATCTTTTTTCATTGTTAAAAACCAAGTTTCTCTGACTTCGGATGCCAAAAACCGCTATGACATGGCGGGGACTGGATCTCATTTTTTAATGGTCCCGTTATCATATTCGCAAACTAAATAATGCAAGGTATTTTAATCAAATTTCCTTACCTTTGTCCCATTTTTGTGTGCAATTTAACTATACCGACCTTACATTCCTTCGAAAAACTGGCTGTGGTTTTTATCGCTGCGTTCGTGCAACTAATCAATATAATAATATCCTTTAAGGGCATTCTTTAAGAGGATCAAAGAACAAAGAAGACGATCGCTAAACGCACATTATTGATATCCTGCGGTGCATCGCTAACAAAAGCCCTTAAAGCTTTGCTCGTCAGTGGACAAAGATTACCCCATAGTTTCGAGAATTTTTTCAGTATAACTTCTTTCTTTACATCCTACGTGAGGTTGTAGGAAACTTATTATCCGCTTCTAATAATTATGAATTTTTAATATCGAATGAGCATTGAATTCATTTTTCGGCTCTTAAATATCAGGCTCATTATTTGCAGTAAAAAGAGAAGGTGAACAGATTTACGCTGCAAGTCTGTTAAAAAGGCTTAGACGAAGATAATGAGGACAATTCGAATTTATTCATGTTCCAAATGATGACGCATTTCT